AAGACAACAGACTGAGAACAAAGCGTCTAAATTATAGTCTTAGCACTCTGCCACTAACCAGCTCCGTTACTCAAAACAAGTCACTTAATTCTCAAATATCTCATCTGTAAAATGTATTTTCATTCATTCAACAAGCATTTATTGAAGGCCCACAATGCATGAGATTTTGTGAAAATAACAAAGAAGAGGACAGTTAAGATCTCTGCCCCACTGAAATGATTAAATAAGCAATTATGAAGTAGTCTAGGTGGTACAGTAGGAAAAGTAGGAGACAGTAAGGGTGCACATCTGGTTGTACAAACCTAAGAAGTACCCTGGATGCCTCTCTCCACCCATAAACCAACCCTGTCTATCACCATCACTCTGGCTACCCCTTCAAATGTCTCCACACCTCTGTCCCCTCCCCTACACTATCCCAGTTACCACCCTCTATCCTGGTGCATTGCAATAGCCTCTCCAATTGGGTAAACTCAGTTACTCTGGCCCCTCTCTGCTTGATTCCCACATTACAGCCAAAATAAACTTTTGAAAATGTAAAATTGAACACGTGTGCTAGTCTCCCTCTACCCCCATATCTGATCCTCCAATGACTTCTCATTGTTTTCAGATGGCCTAGTGAGACACAGCATGGTCTAGCCTCCACCTACTTCTGCAGCCTCTCCCATCTCCATGTTCCTTCTCACTTTCTGTGCTGCAACCACACTGTCTTCTCTCAGTCTCTGGGCATGTCAGGTCCTTCTTGCGACAGTGCCTTTGCACGTACTCTTCCCCATGCCTAGAATGCAACCATCTCTCTTTCTCCTTGGCAAAACTCTTATTCACCCTTTTGTACTTAATTCAAAAGTTGCACTGGGCATGGTGACATGCACCTGTAGTCCTAGTTACTTTGAAGACTGAGGTGGGAGGATCTCTTGAGCCCAGGAATTTGAGATCAGCCTGGGCAACATAATGAGATCCAGTTTCAAAACAACAACAGCAAGAAAAGTTACTTCCTTAAGAAAAGTTTCCTTTATTAAATTATATCTTTCTTTAATAAAATGTCATGGTGCTGTGCACCTCTCCAGAGGTACACAGAGGTTAGCATAGGAACCTAGAGTAGCAAACCTATCCTAGCAGAATCTGAGACACCAGAAAAACTGATACGTGAACTGAGTATTGAAGGAGGAATAAAAGCCATGTGGAAAAGAGAAGGGCATCTGTGACATGAGGTTTGAAAATGAGATAATACTATGTAACAGTAAGAACTCAGAAACTGGCTTCTCCTTTCTCTGTAACCTCAAGGCACTCAATATACTGTGGGGAATATTGCAGTTGCTCATGTACATTTGAACTAAACACTGACTAAATACCAGTATCTAAAACTTAGCTACTGTACAAACTTGAAAAATAGATTAAAAACATGCCCCTTGCAACTAATATTTATGTAACCAAGGAGCATATTTTATATATATATATATATATATAAAACTACTATACTGTTTGCTAACACTAGGATTTTAAAGAAATTTTCTTAGATAACATTATTTTTCATTCTTTGCTGCCCCTTCCTTAGTGTTGACAGTGGAGAATAATCATATATAATAACAAATTATCATCAATATTTTAATGTTTGAAGGTCATAAAAATATAACCCAAGAATTATGACAGTTTAAGAGCAGCTTATATTCAAGTCCTCTGCTATACTTTCACCTGCCAAACACAGAATAAATGCACTGAAATGTCTAGTTTTTAAATTTTTTAATTAAAAATTTATATTAGGAACTAACCAGCTGAATTCTAGAATTCATCTTAAGAGAGTAACAACATTCTCCAATTTTAAAAGGCTAAAAATATGGCCTTTGGGGCTGACACTGTGATATTGGAGAGAATTGTGAATTCATTTCTCTGCTGCCATGTGGAGTTGTAAGAAATGCTGCCCATATAAAGTAAGTTGCATTAGAAACAATGACACTCTAGCAGCAATGAGCACACCTATCACCCAGATACTGGTCTCTAAATACCATTGTACAATAAAAGAAACCAGGAATCCTTGAGAAAATGGTTGATTCCAGGATTGAGGCATGGAAAATATAAGATGAACTCGGAACAATGTATGATTCCAGAAAGTTAACGCTCAAAAAAAGGATGGGGCTTATCAAAAGAACATAGGAGTCAACCTGAAGGAGCCATAATAGCCAAAGCTAAAATAATTAAAGCAGTAAAATAAATAATACTATTCAATGTAAACTCACACAACGAAATAAACATCCATGAGTCCATTCTGATAGTTTAAAAACGGGGGAAAAGGGATAGCTCTTCCTTACAATGGAATTTCAATTAGCAAATGTAGAGGAAGAAAGCAGAAAATTCACAATAGGCAAACACTATGGTAATAATCATTGCAGACAAGATGCACCAATGGATGCTAAAATTAGTAGGGATAAATGTGAGGCAAAATAACATTTGCATAGTGTTTTATCTCTTGGAAAATATTTATTAATCACAAAAGGAAATATATGGTAACTTTACAGTGGAAAAAGCCAGCAGACACTACCTTAGCTAACTGATCACCAGTAATAAGAAGTATGATCCCATTGATACGGTGCACTGAGGACACAGGATCATTTCTGTGGTATTCTGCCAAAAATGCATGACCTCATTCCAATCCTGAAAAAACATCAGCCAAACCCAGACTGAGAATATTCTCCAAAATAACCAGAATGAGTACTCTTCAAAACTGTCAAGATCATGAAAGAAGAGAAAAAACAAGGAACATGCTGGAGGAGACAAGGTAATTAAATGTAACTGGGATGCTGGGTAGGATCCTGGAACAGAAAAAGTATACTAGGAAAACTGGTAGAATCAGACTCGGTGCAGTGGCTCACATCTGTAATGGGAGCCCGAGGTGGGCGGATCACCAGAGGTCAGGAGTTCGAGACCAGCCTGGCCAACATGGTGAAACCCCATGTCTACTAAAATTACAAAAAATTAGCCGGGTATGGTGGCATATTCCTGTAATCCCAGTTACTAGGGAGGCTGAGGTGTCAGAGTCGCTTGAACCTGGAAGGCAGTGAGCCGAGATCTCGCCACTGCACTCTAGCCTAGGTGACCGAGCAAGACTCTGTCTCAAACAAACAAAAAAAGAAAGAAAGAAAGAAAGAAAAACTGGTAGAATCAAAATAAGGTTTACAGTTGGCCAGGCATGGTGGCTCATACCTATAACCCAGCACTTTGGGAGGCTGAGGCAGGAGGATTGTTTGACTCCAGTAATTCGAGATCAGCCTGGGCAAAACAGCCAGACCCAATCTCTACAAAAACTTTTTACAAATTAGCTGGGCATGATGCTGCATGTCTGTAGTCCCAGCTACGTGGGAGGCTGAGAAAGACTGCTTAAGCCCAGGATTTCAAGGCTGCAGTAAGCTATGACAGGCCACAGTACTCCAGCCTGGGCAATAGAGTGAGACACTATCTCTAAAAAATTTTCAAAAGTAAAATAAGATCTACAGTTAATAATATTAAACCAATGTTAATTTAATTTTACTATGGTTACATAAGATGTTAACACAAGGTGAAGCCAGCTAAGCTTTATACAGGAATCCTTCGTACTATTTTTATAACTTTTCTGCAAGTCTAAAATTAGTTCAAAGTAAAATGTTTTTAAAGAAACTATATTAAAAGGGCAAATTAAAATAAGTGGTACACCCAGCAAAGTGGTTCATGTCTGTAATCCCAGCACTTTGGGAGATTGAGGCACCTGGGGTCAGGAGTTTGGGACAAGCCTGGCCAACATGGTAAAACCCCATCTCTACTAAAAATACAAAATTAGCCGGGCGTGGTGGCACACACCTGTAATCCCAGCTACTCGGGAGGCTGAGAAAGGAGAATTGCTTGAACCCAGGAGGTAGAGGTTGCAGTTGGCCAAGACTGCGCCACTGCACTCCAGCCTGCACGACAGAGCGAGACTCCGTCTTTTAAAAAAAAAAAAAAAAAAAAAAGTGGTGTTACTGCATCATTCTACTTTGGAGACAAAAGCAGTATGGCAAACAAAAGTGGGTTTTGTTTGTGGGTCCGCTCTATGACTTTATCTCCTACTCTGCACACTGCCCCACCCTCAGAGGCAGGCTCTAGGTGACCAGGGGCAGTGAAGGGCATTACACACAGCCTGCTGGGAAAGGGGCACAGATTACAGCAATTTCTCAAGTCTCACACTGAAATCAGGGAAGAAAACTCATATATCCTATTCATGGGTCCCATAAAGATAATTCTCAAGTGAAGAAAGAAACAGAGGTGGGGATATGAGAGCAGTGAGTAGGAAGGAAGAAAAAACACTGGTTTGCCAAGAAGATTCTTTACAGTATTTTTGTTTGTGTAGAAGATAGAGAAAGTAGTTACTTGGGAAAATGGCTGGAATCTAAAACTTTATCAATACCTTCACACTGTATTAATTTAGTCAAGTAGTTTGAACATTCTTTTGTTTTTCTTTTTCACACTGATAAATTAATCATGTCTATAAATGGTCAAAATCACCTTTCATTTTTTCATCAAAACAATTGCATTTTTTAAGTCTCATAAGACAGCTCATGACTTTATACTCTCATTTTATAAGAGTTTTGTAGAAAGGAGGATTTCTCCTCTACCTTTCACAGTATTTCAGCATTAAGGAATATAAGCACAACAAAAGTTCTCATGAATAATCAAACTGAAGAGGCATGTGGAGTCCAGGAACTGGGGAATCATCTGAGAGGACAGAAAGAACATGGGCCCTGGAGCAAGACAGGCCTGAAATAAAATCTCAGTTCTGTGACTTACTAGCCCCTGGATCCCAATCAAGTTCTTTTAACCTCAATGAACTTTAATCACCTTGCCTGCAAAATGGTGAAAATGTCACTTAAGTACTGTAAAAATTAAATAAGACAACGGCATATAAAATGCTTGGCCTATGGAATTCACTCAAAAAATATTATTAGTTCCTTCCACCTTTGTCTTTTTCATTGTTAAAGAGGTGTTTTCTGAAAACATACCGATTGAAGTTAATGTCTGGGTAACTAGAATACTCCGATTTCATCTTAGCATTTCGTCGTGGAAATGTGCAGAAGAAAGCATTAGCTAAAAGACTGGCAATCTGTTCCTGCGACATTGTGATGGAATGATTCATCTTCTGTTTCAGAAGCGGTATTGGCTGATAAAAGAAAGAAAAAAATACAGACGAGAAGAGCAATAATTAGTTTAGCAATTTCGAAAGCAGAGCCACCAAATTGCATTTGCTAAATTAAGGCAGAAATAATTTCAGGCCATTCTTGAATCCTTAAATCAGCAATATTGTTAAAGTCAAGGGCTGTTTATCAGGGATGATTGAGAAAATGTACTTACTTCACAAACTGCAGATTTCTAATCAATAATAATGGTAGTGAAGAAAATATAAAACATTACTTATTAGTGAAAAACAAGATTGCTTCAGCAAGTAAATAAAAACATATTGCCCATTTAATGAAAAATTAAAACAAAAGATGAAACAAAAATATGTAACATTGCTTAAGCTAAATTTTGTTCTTATTTATATTAAAAATCATTGCCCAGGCCAGGCGCGGTGGCTCACGCCCGTAATCCCAGCACTTTGGGAGGCCGAGGCGGACAGATCATGAGGTCAGGAGATCGAGACCATCCTGGCTAACACGGTGAAACCCTATCTCTACTAAAAACACAAAAAATTGCCAGGTGTGGTGGTGGGCGCCTGTAGTCCCAGCTACTCACGAGGTTGAGGTAGGAGAATGGCGTGAACCCCTGGGAGACGGAGTTTGCAGGTGAGCCGAGATTGCGCCACTGCCACCCAGGCCTGGGCGGACAGAGCGAGACCTCTGTCTCAAAAAAAAAAAAAAAAAAAAAAAAAAAATTGGCCAGAATAAACTTTCTTAGTTCTAAATAAAATGATCTAAGATAATTCAACAAAGAAGGTTTTACCCTCTTATTCCAAATTACACTTCATACTGACAATTTCTTTATAAGAATCAAATCGAACTTCATTAAAGTGATTAATAGAACACGTAAAAACCACCATACGAACATGTATAAGTTGTAAAAAGATAGACATTTCTTACATAATCAAATATTCCAAGTCAAAGAAGATATAAGACACTTTTTCTTCAAATCTTTTATATCTAAAATGTCTTCCAGTTATACCACCAAATTCACTTACCTTTTATTGTCAGTATAATCCACACGACCTGAGTATTGTGTTCAGTGGATTTCATTTAGTTTGTAAACCAAAAATAAAATTCCAAGTCCCCCAACCGACTGAATGAACCCCTCCTCTCAACCATGGGGATTCCAAAGTTAATATGAAACACTAGTCCACACCATGATAGGAAGTGTGGGTCTGACATGCCTCATTATATGCTCCTCACTTTAGAATTCAGCACAAGTGACCAGCATTAACATTAAAACAGAGGCCTTAAAACTGATGAAACAGATTTTTTATAGTAATAAGACACAATTCCAGCCTGACTCGAGTATAGCATCACATGACAGTTAGCAGATCTTGAAATAATTGAAGTATTTTACCCCAAAATATATTTCTTTGACATATTTTGAAATAGCCCTGCAAAGCTGTCTGTTGGGAAAATCTACACTCTGTAGAGAATCCCTATTCCTTTCCAGGTGAGAATTAAGAAAGGGTTTGGTACCTTTTTAGGTCTAATAAAAGCTCCGAAGCCTACTACCTGGAGGTTTCATCCACATGATGAAATCTTGGTCTCAACAAATCCTTATTTTAACCCAGATATTCCTTTCTATTGATTCCAGGTCTTTAGATAATAACTCTTCCAACCAATGGCAAATCAGAAAATCTTTGAATCCACCTAAGACCTGTAAGCTCCCCTTATATGTATTGATTGATGTCTTATGTCTCCCTAAAATATATAAAGCCAAGCTATAGCCTGACCATCTTGGGCACATGTTCTCAGGATCTCCTGGGGCTGTTACAGGCCACTGGTTACTCATATTTGGCTCAAAATAAATCTCTTCAAATATTTTACAGAGTTTGACTCTTTTTGTCAACATATCTTAAATGTTAAAATGTTTTTAAAGACATGATGATAAAATCAAAGACCAACTCCCAGTTTATCCTTCAGCTGTTAAGTTTCAAAATGCTCCTACAGAATATTTAGAGATGCATTTACCTTCTCCCCTTCAGTAAGACACAGAACTAAGAGTTTCGGGTATCTGCACTCATCTCAAACTGGCATGCCTAGAGCAAACTGTCCCGATCATACCTCAGGAGTCGACACCCAGAATGAACCTGAGGAAAGGGCAGGCAAGACAAACCAAAACTGCAGTGCTGAATAATGAATGCTTTTCTAAGTACAGAAGTACACATCATTGCTAGAATAAGAGTTTGCCAGAAAAAAGAACAGATTAAACTTACAATTCAACTATTTCTCTTGGAAAAATTCAAAGGTAAACAAACAAGCAAAAGGCAAAGAATCTATTTTCACTATGTTATACAAAATTCTCTCCCCTTCAGGTCTTAGCAATCACCATTTCTGAGAAAAACAGAGAGCTCATATTGATCTCCATTTTCCATCCTGTGCATTTATTCACAACCAAGCAACGAGTGTAGAAAAGGTGACAGTGCATCAATGGCTTCAAGCAAAGTGTTGCTTGGTTTTAGTAAGAAATGAGTTTTTAACTACCATTTACCAAATTATTCAGAAAAATGATTTTAAAAATTAATGGTAAATATTTCAGGCTTAATGGACTTCAAACACAAACATTTCTTGTCTCCCAGATAAACAAATAGTATAATTTTAAATAGAGTTAATGATTTCTGCTCTCCTGGTGAGGGGAAATGCCTAAAAACTCATTATTTGGAGAAATGAGGAGATGTAAATCTTATTGTCAAGCACTCAGCTCAACAAAATAAAAGGCTGGTTACTGTGAGCCAAGATATTTCAAAAAGTTCCTGACCAAATTTGTTTCCTTTAATTTTCTTTTGATAAATCTAAAATTTACCTTTTAGATTTGGCCTAGAGTACTTCAATGTGATAAATTATTAAATATCAACATATACAATTTAACTTGCGACAAGATGTATTTTGATCTCAAATAAAAATCTTAACTTTCACAGCAGAGGTTGACTTTTCAATAGAGGGCAAAGCACAGAATTAAGATGCTCTCCCCATTGATATGCTAATGGAGAAGAAAGTCACTGGGAGAAGCCAGGACAAAAAGCTGAGGACCCAGGGGTCTGATTTTGGTTCCAAGGGGCTTGTTATAGCTTACAAAGTTAGATGCTTTTGAATAAAAATTTCTCATTAAATGAAATATGGAAACTCTCATATGCACGATGGGAAGAGAAGAGGATTAAATGGCCCACTCCCAAAGGCTACCTACTATCTACTATTGATTATGAACTACATATTGAATTCAAAAGGCATATAATTAAGCACCATGCAAACCAGTGACACAAAGAGGATCTCTCTTTAAGGAGACTATAATCCAGTGGTAAGAGATATATAATGACAACAATTATAAAACAATGATTTGAGTGCTTCAGGAGGGATGAATCTTGTCTGGGAGGCAGGGAAGGCTTCACAGGGGAAGTAACAGACAGGCATACCTAGGAGGTAGTGAGAGATTTTACTAAGTAAGGAAAGAAAGGAAAAAGAACTAACATGGAATATGATCAAGCAAATAACTTCCAACAGAAACAAGCAGAAGATATGTTTTAAAATATATTTCCCCTGCCCAATAGTAAAACTTATTTCAGACACAATGCATTACTGAGGTGAAATTAAAGTTACATAAAATTGAAAACATCACACTGGAAAACATTTCATGGGTCTCAATTGAAGATGGTATAGTCCAAGAAAGCATCTGGACATGTGTGGGTTGTTTTCTGGTTGCCCCAATGACCCTATTTGTGGTGTTTAGGGTGTCCTAACGACATACTGCAATGGATGGGACCATGATACACATTCAGAAATTGTTCCACCCAAATGTCCACAGGGCCCCTGCGGAGTAAAATGCTAGCAGAACCCTGGCTAGCAGCCATGCAGCAAGAGGCGTTGGCCCTAGAAATAGAAGACAAAGGCAAATTCAAGCACCACTGTGAGAAACACAGGAATAAAATTATGAAGAACAAAACAAACCCTGTGGAGGTTTGAAAATACGTTCACAAATTATTTGATGCTCCTCTCTTTAAGAGGTGGAGTCTTGGGCACGGTGGCTCATGCCTGTAATTTCAGCACTATGGGAGGCAGAGGTGGGAGGATCACATGAGGTCAGGAGTTCAAGACCAGCCTGGCCAAAATGGTGAAACTCCGTCTCTGCTAAAAATACAAAAAATTAGCCGAGTGTAGTGGCACACGCCTGTAGTCCCACCTACTCAGGTGACAGGCAGGAAAATCACTTGAACCCAGGAGGCAGAGGTTGCAGTGAGCTGAGATCATGCCGCTGCATTCCAGCCTGGGGGACAAGGGTGAAACTTGGTCTCAAAAAAAAAAAAAAAAAAAAGAAGTGGAGTCTAATACTCCTCCCCTTGGGTATCAGCTAGATTCTAATGAACACTAAAACAGCAGAAGTGATGCTAGGTGCCTTGAGAAAAATGGGTCACAGAAGACACTGCAGCTTCCTTGCTCTCTCCCTTGGATTGCTTGCTCTGGGGAAGTTAGCCATTACATCATAGGGACAATCAATCAGCCTATAGAGAGGCCAATAGCAGGGCCTTCTGCCAACAGCTACGTAAGTAAGCCAACTTAGAGGTGTGTCCTTCAGCCCCAGGCAAGCCTTCAGATGACTGAAGCCCTGGCTGACATCCTCACTGCAACTACAAGAGAAACCCTGATCCACAACCACTCAGTCAGCTAATCTGCTCCCAAAGTCAACAGAAGCTGAGAGATAATACATGTTTATTGCTTTAAGCCATTAATTTTGACATAATTTGTTATGTAGCAATATAAAATTAATGTACTCCAAACAAAATAAAATACAGGATTCTTTATTTTTAAAAGTTAAGGCCAGCACAGTGGCTCACACCTGTAATCCCAGCATTTTGGGAGGGCAAGGCAGACGAATCACCTGAGATCAGGAGTTCAAGACCAGCCTGGCAAACATGGTGAAACATCGTCTCTACTAAAAATACAAAAAGTAGCCAGGTGTGGTGGCACACACCTGTAATCCCAGCTACTTGGGAAGTTGAGGCACAAGAATTGTTTGAACCCAGGAGGCAGTGGTTACAGTAACCTGGGATTTGTGCCACTGCACTCCAAAAAAAGGAACCTTAGCCAGGTGTGGTGGCACATGCCTGTAATCCCAGCTACTTGGGTGCCTGAGGCAGGAGAATTGGTTGAATCTGGGAGATGGAGGATGCAGTGAGCCAAGATTTTGCCACTGCACTCCAGCCTGGGTGACAGAGCAAGGCTCTGTCTCAAAAAAATAAAAAGTTAAGAAAGCATCATTAACTCATTTGTTAGAGAATACATTACTTTGGGGGAGGGTGAGGAAGGAGTGGGTAGTATTAAGCCATTTTGAAAATACACTATTCCAAATCCATTAGTATGTTTTGAAATAATGAGTGCTTTTTAAAGTTAGAGGTTATTTGAACAAAGAGAGAAAAAAGTCATAGTAAACAAGCTTCAACAGTGTAAACAGAAGCTGAGGAATGGAATGCTGCATTTTTAATGTCCTTTTGTAGTACTCTCTACCCTCTAATCTTTTCCTTAATACAGCAAAATTACCATACTCTTTGGCAAAAACTGTTTCCTTTCTCTTCTCTTCTCTCTCTCTCTCTCTCTCTATCTGTGACCTTGGCCATTCGAGTTTAAGGGAAATTCAATTGTCGGTCTCAGGCAAGCTACTGAGGAAGCTACATCCACTAACCTGGGTGCAAATATTTGGCAGACAGAGTGCAATTTTCACCATATCAGGCAAAATGGACTGATATAAATGTTGAGCTTCTGCTTCTTCAAGTACCTGAAAACCAATAAAATAAGTTATGTGAATAATAATAACCAGTAAATATAATAACCGATGAATATGTTTGTCATGAAATTAAATCACATATCTGCTTTTCATGGAACCCCATAAAGTGGCACACTTATCAGCATCACCAAACACATGTAAAAATACATCAACAGGTGTATACAAATAAATTTACAAATTTATTTCCAAATGTGTATTTGGCATTAAGGCAATTCACCTTAATGCCCTCTGAAAAAACTTTAAGTATCCCAAATATCAAATATCCCTCACACAGCATTCACAATAAAGTAAAAACACTTGCAAATGGAAAACAGTACATTCTGCCCTTGGTTATATCAACTAGAAACTGCTAGACCACGAAGGACTCTCTTAGAAGCCCCCAAGGACCCATCTAGCTTCAACGGTCTATAATTGAAGAAATCTCCATAAAAGCCACATTAATTACTTCAGAGCATCCTCTGTGGGTCAAATCTAATCTACTGGGTAACAAACAATGAGGTTTCTGATGGTCTTAGAATTTCTCTTTTCTAGACACCCTCGGAAAGTGAAAACCACCATTCCCATATCATAATTTGAAGCACAACAAAGATGCCATGCATGGTCCATTTTTGTCTTTTATAAAATTTCCCATCACTTTAACACCTTTTAATCTAATTTCTTTCTAAACATCAGGGTATTTCTTTAAAAGTACTGGAAATGACAACATTCTTAATTTAGAGATACTACATATATAGTCTGGACTGAAGTAAATACTTTATCTACTTGAAATCACATTTTAACTACAAGAGGCCTCAGTTATAATCTAGTCTGATCTTGTCACTACTGGAGAGAAAACTGAGGCCAAGGAGGTTACCTGATCATCCTACATTGAGGTCAATTAAAACTAAATCAGAACAAGAGCCTAAGTGTTCTGGTCTTTATGCCACAGCTCTTCCTACTTCCCTATGTGACCAATGTTTGGAATCGATGAAGAAACAGACTTTTGACAAAAATCAGGAACTAAGCAGAAATAAAGGTAAAACCATTTGTTTAGCTGCAGCTGGACAGGGTATGTGTATAAACAGAAAAAGTAACAAAGATTATTTGCCCTGATTTTGCCAGTAAATTCTAACACTAAGAATTTTCGTTATACCAAAACTCTGAAACCCAAACTATGTTTACTTCTCTTTTAAAATTAAGATGAGTAAACATATTCAGAATGAACAGAAGGATATTTGTAATTCAGAGAATTTGAAATTCAATTAATCATAAGCATATAGAAAATTAAGTAAACAAAAGACAATTATTAATTCTGGAGAAAACAAAAAGTTTTGCAAGAGAGGAAAAGCAATCACAGCCCATGTATGACTAGTGTTTATACTATCCAACTGAAAAAACAGACTACTGATGTAATTGAAATGAATATGAAAACTATAGTAAGAAAATGGGGAGGCAGAAATGAGGTTTGCATTTATGGAGGTGGAGAAAGTGAGAATAAGAGCTAAATCCTAATCTTCTAAAGGGGGACTTGTTTTAAAAAGAGTTTAGAGTAAGTAGTCAAATGACTGCCTCTTTATAATCTGCCTCCTTAACTCTGTTAAAAATAAGAAAACTAAATTTTAAAAAAATTATACATTCATAGATGACATTCTACTATTTTAGAGGTACACACTAAAGATACTGGCTTCTCTACACCTGAAAATGTATAAAATACAAATACATTAATGGATTTGTTTAAAATATTCAAACTCTTCCCGTTTATAATTTATCTTTTTTTTTTTTTTAAATAGAAACAGGGTCTGCCCAGGCTGGAGTGCTGTGGAATGACTATAGCTCGCTGTAACCTTGAACTCCTGGACTCAAAAAATCCCTTCCTGCCTCAGCATCCTGAGCAGCTAGGAATACAGGCCTTTTTGCTTTTTAAAACTATTTATTCTGAAATAATTATGGTTTCACAGGATGTTACAAAAATATTACCTCTCACCCAGTTTCTCTCAATGGTTACATTTTACATTACTATAACATACTAAAAACCAGGAATACCAGTACAATGTGTATCATTCTATGCCATTTTATCACACGTACATGTGTGTAATCACCACCAAAACTAAGATGCAGAACCATTTCACTACAATAAAGATCTCATGCTACCCATTTATAGTCACACTCAGCTTCCTTCCTCTCACTATTCCTAACACCTAACACCCATTAGTTTGTTTTCCAGCTCAAAAATTTTGCCATGTTACCTAAATGGAAACGTACGAGTCCTTTGAAGTTGATTTTTTTTTACACGGCTTAAAGCCCTTAAAAGCCATTCAAGTTATTGCAAGTATCAATAGTTCACTCCTCCTCATTATTAAGTAGAATTCCATGGTATGAATATAACAGTTTGTTTAGCAGTTTCATCTACTGAGAGGCACTTTGGTTGTTTTCAGTTTTGTACTATTATAAATAAAGTTACCTTTACTCTCGACCTACCTATACTGTTGTCTGAAATTACTTCCTGTACACAGCACAGTATGTCATTTTTAAAATTCACTCTGCAAATCTGTCTTTCAACAGATGAATTTAGGTCATTTATGTTTAATGTAGTCTTTGATATGTTGAAACTTAAATCTGTTATTTCATTTTATTTATTTTATCTGTTTTCTTTTCCCCTCCTCTTTATGGGTTACTTGAACATAGTTTAAAATTCCATTTTTGTTTATCTAAAATGTTTCTGACTGCATCTCTTTGAATAGAGGTTTTTCTAAAGTAGCTGCTGAAGAACTGCATTACATACAGCTTATCAGCATTTACTGGTGTCAATATTTCACCAGTTCCAGTGAAGTGTAGACTTTACCTTCCTTTACCCTTCTCCATTTATAATGTAAATATCTTCAATATTTTCTCTACATACATTGATAACTACACTAGACTGTTTTACAATATTTGAAAACAGTGAAAAGTCAAACATAATTTACAACATTCAAAAAAGTTTTTTTAAAAGTCTATTATATTTACTATATTTTTACTCTGTTGTTCTTTCTTCTTTCCTGATGTTCCATAATTCCTTTCTTGTATAATTTCTTTTCTGTTTCAGGAAATTTCTTTAGACATTATTTCACGGTAGGTCCGCTGATGATAAGTTCTCTTTTCCTTCACCTGAGAGCATCGTGGTTTCCTCTTCCTTTCTGAAGAATATCTTAATTGGATATAGAATTCTGGGATGACAATTATTTCCTTAGTCCTCAAAATTTTGTGCCACTTTTTTCTGGTCTCCATGTTTGCTGATAAGAGATCTACTGTCATTCAAACTGTTTTTCTGTCTAGGCATTGTGTCATTTCTCTTGCTGCTTTCAAGATTTTTTCTTTGCCTTTGGTTTTAAGAAATGTGATTATAGTATGTCTTGGTATGAATTTCTTTGTTTTTCTCCTACTTAAGGTTCGGTCAGCTTCTTGAATCTGTAGATTTATGACTTTTCTCAAATTTTGGAAGTTTTCAGCCATTATTTCTTTGAATATTGTTTCAGTCCCACCCTCTTTCCCCTCTCTTTCTGTTCATATGATGACACAAATGTTATAGCTAAACTCTGGGTTTTGTTTTTCATCCATTTTCTCACTGCTGTTCAGAATGAGTAATTTCTCTTAATTTCTTCCAAGTTCATTGATTCTTTCCTCTACCATCCCCATTCTCCATTAAATCTGTCTATTCCATTTTAAAAAATCAGTTATTACATTTTTCAGTTCTAAAATTTCCATTTGGTTTCTCTTGATAGTTTTTTTTTTTTTCCCTTTGCTGGGACTTTGTATTTTTTCATTTGTTTCAAGTATGTTTTTAATAGCCCAGCCTTCTTGTGAGGGCTACTTTAAAATCATTGTCAGACAATTCACATCTGTATTCTCTTGGGGTTGGTGCCTATTGAGGTTCATTTTTCATTTCAGTTGAGATTTTCCTGATTCTTTTCTGGTTATGAGTGACTTTTATTAAAATCTGGATATTTGGGGTATTATAAATCTTTGGATCTTATTTAAATCTTCAGCCAGAGCAGGCCTTCTGTGATACTGTGCCAGCAGGGGAATGGGATAGCTACTTCATTACTAGCAATTGAGGGTAAAAATTCATGTTCCCCAGTCAGCCTTTAGTACCCAAAGCGGAAAGTGAGAGAGGTACCTTGATAGTGCTGGGTTGGGGTGAGAGTTCAAGCTCCCCACCAGGTCTTTACTGATACCACTTTGGTGCCATGACAGTACCACAGTCCCTGCTGGTCAGTGGCCTTCTACCTTTCAGAGTCTTATGTTTGTTTTACACACAAGGTCCCTTGTTTTTCACTGTAATTAGTGGGAAGGACAGAGAGAAGTGACTAGTCAACCATGTTAAACCTAAAGATATTAAACCTTAAGTGTCTTAACAGGCTGACATGTCTCCTTTGGGTACCCATCTTTGTCTTTTAAAACTGACACGAGTGGCTGCTGCGGTGCTCTGCTGACAAACTGTACAATATCGCTTATTTATCTGATGAAGCATTATTGCACTGTACTTCTTCACAACTGTCAACACTCCAGACCTATGTCTAATGCTGCTTTGGAAACACAAAAAGGGAACCTAAAAAATGTCATTTAAGAACATAAGCGGCTCAACTACTGTTTGAGATGGAATGCATAATCTAAAATATCACCATGACCTTATAACCTGTATAATGCAAACTGGGATGCAAGTAGGGAAAAGTTATTTAAGATGTACATCACTTCTTAACTTCAAGAAAAGCAACAGCCATATTCTAAAAGCAACAGTCAAATATTCTATAACAATTAAAGAAAAATAAACATATATTACTTATTATGATGATAATGATGATTATAAGGGAGGTAAGCATTTACATGATGGTAAAAAAGAAAGCTGTATTAAATTCTCCCACAAGTAAAACCCTGCCCTCTACTGGATAGTCTGCATAGATAATTATATACAGCGAGTGTTTTGATCTGTGCATGTGCCCGTGTGTGTAGCAACTTTTTATTCTAGTCTCAGAAAT